TAATAATAATAATAATAAAGGAAATAGAGGCATCCCTCCATTTTTGCAGACTCGGAGTCCACGATCTTGCCTGTTTGTGGGTGGGGAGGGACACAATGGACAAAATGGAGAGTGTCCCCATGGATGTGAACCACCATTCAAGCTAATGGGGCTTGAAAATATTGGCAATTTTCTGTTTTGCAGGGGGGGTGTCCAGAACGGATCCCCCACAAAAACAGGGGCGACTGTAATTTGGGATTCATTTCTATTGTTTTCAGATTTTTTTCTCTTTCTGTTTACATGTTTAAAGGTAAAAGTAAAGGTTTTCCCCATTCACAAAGTTGTCAAGTCATGTCTGACCGTATGGGGTGGTGCTCATCTCTATTACTAAGTCAAAGAGCCAGCGTTGTCAGAGACTATTCTGTGATCATGTGGCCAGCATGATTGCACAGAATGTTGTTTACCATTCCACCAAAGTGGTACCTATTTATCTACTTGGATTTGCATGCTTTCGAATTGCTAGGTTGTTAGAAGCTGAGAACAGGAGTTCAGTGCATCGTGCAGCACCCATGCTTCCAACTACTAACCTGCCAAACTTGCAATCAACAGAGTTTACATGCTTAGTTACCATTTATTTCATTAGGTTTTTTCTAAATATAACTTAATTTGAATCTCACTTATAAGATACAAAAATAATATTTTATTATCCTCTGGAGGTTGAATTCAGGACCCCTCGTGGATACCAAAATCTGTAATGCTCAAGTCTCATTAAATACAATGACATAATAGAATGGTGTCCCTTGTATAAAGTAGCAAAATCATGCTTTGCTTTTTGGATTTTTTTTTAAATGTTGATACGGAAGACAGACTCTTTTATTTTAATTCATTGTACATAAATATTTATTTCCTGAATTGAATCTCCCAGTACAACATGGCCAGAAGGAGGAGGGCCCCACCTGCATGAATATCCTTCCATACCATCTGAACTAAGGACAACAACCACAACATCTCGGCCAAATACAGGGCTATGACTAACATCATCAGTTTTTTCTTTCTTTCTTTCTTTCTCCAATATGATTTTTAACACCTTCACCTGATGAAAAAGACAAGTGGAGCTTCAAAACCTTGCAACATGTATAATGTTCATTTTGATTGACCCAATAAAGGTATCACTGTTTTGTGGATTTTTGATGATACTTTACTTTGTTATATGGCCTACATGGCTACCCCTGGATCTGTACATAAATTTATTGTTGTTGTTGTTGTTGTTGTTGTCCCACCCTTTCCCCAAAACTGGGACTCAGGACAGCTCACAATTAAAAGCATACAAATGCAATTAAAAGCATACAAATTAAGAACATATAAATGTCATTATAATAGTAATCAGCAACATTATCTTACTAGGAGAGTTTCTTTGCCTATCAATTCCATTTTTAGGATATTCATCACATTCGAAATTCAGTGGAAATTATTTTGAAATAAATATGTTTAGTCACTACCACAAGATATGGTAGATTTTCAATCTGTAATAGACAGAAGCTATATGAATGCAATCATTTAGGCAGATATGTTGATGAGATTGAATTCTGTGTAGTTTTTCAAGGGCTTGGCAAAGCTGTTCTAAGAAATTATCTCACAGTAAAGAAAAGCTGTTGAGTATCTACAAGGTATTTGCAGAGTTGGTATTTGCCAAATTAAACTGCTAACAAACAGTAAACAGACAGAAGTATCTCTAATCAAAATTTATTTCAAGGCATGAAGGTGGCAGAGAAAGTAAAATAGCAGAGGCAAAACTTGTTGCAAATAATGAAAAAGCAATCTCAGCTGACGGAAAACAACTAGTCTCATATTGCATCATATTTTTGCAAAATCATATTAATCTTACAGCCACTGTTACAGAGACAAGAAAAATGTATTCCCACATTTGGAAGGCTTATATATTATAAAAATGAGAAAGTCTATTGAAGTTATTTAAGAAGCCTAAAATAATACAGAAATATGATGTAATGTCAATGGGAGTTAATGCTCAAACAATAAATTCAAAATAGTATTATATTGTGAGGAGCAGTTACATAGTTTCAGAAACGTTGCTAGATGGATGACCATTCAGTTTTCTCCCTCAATTATATGTGGATGGGAAATTGGGTTATATTGCTAGGCTGATCTGTCATACTTTGGAGATGTCATATTAATACAGCATGAAATGTAGGACATTCTGTTAACCCTTTTTAAAGTGTGTGCTGCAGAGAAAGTTATACCTTTAGATGAATTAAATATTCTGTGTTCTAAAATTAATTGCTTTATTTTTGATCTAAATATGCTGCATAAATTGGGGTGCTGTATAAGACACATTAAGCACTGATACAGATAAATATTTTTAACATGCAAAGGGATCTTTTAGCACCTTTAAGACCAACTGAGAGAAAGAAATTGGTATCATATCTTTTGTAGACCTAAGTCTTCATCATTAGATGCATGGGGTGAAGTGAACTCCATGCATCTGACTTAAGTCTACAAAAGCTTAAAACTTTGTTCTCTCAGTCTTAAACATGCCACAATATCCTTTGCATATTGATCCAGACTTTCAGCTATGTCTTCAAATTCTTTTTGACATGTGCATATAGAGGATATTGCATAGTATTGTGCTATATTGTATCCCCTATAGCCAGGGTAAAGAATCTTTGGCTCTTCAGATACTGTTGGGACTTCAGATCCCATTAACATGTCAAGTGGTGAGGGACTGTGAGAATTCTAAGGGTATATAGTATGGGGGAATATAGACAGCCTCTCTATCAAGGCTGTGTTTTTATATAAAAATAAAGAGACTTCTATATTTCTGTACACAGGTTGAGTCTCCATTATCCAGAATTCTGAAATCCAAAATATTCCAAAAACCAAAACTTTTTTCATGGATGTCTGAGATAATAACACTTTGCTTTCTGATAGTTCAGTGTACACAGACTTTGTTTCATGTACAAAATTATTAAAAAATACTATATAAAATTACCTTCTGGCTATGCATATTAGGTATATATGAAAGATAAATGAATTTTGTGTTTTGACTTGGATCCCATCTTCAAGATACCTCATTATTTATGTATATGCAAATATAGATATTAAAAAATCTAAAATACTCGAATTTAGATTCCAAAAATATCCAAAATATGGAATGCTTTTTGTGCTAAGCATTTTGGATAAGGGAGAGTCAACTTGTATCTGTTATGTAACCTAACTAGTCTGCAGTCTGAAACACTCAAATTACTACATCACACTGGCTCTTTCTTGAGGCTTTGATGGTTTTTGTGATGTGGCTTCAAGTAATTTCCGACTTATGGCAGCCCTAAGGTGAATCTGTCCTGGGGTTTTCTTGGCAAGATTTGTTCAGAGGAGGTTTGTCATTGCCTTCCCCTGAAGCTGAGAGAGAATGACTTCCCTAAGGCCACCCAGTGGATTTCATGATGGAGTGGGGAATTGAACCCTGGTCTCCAGAATCAATAGTCCAGCGCTCAAACCACTCTGCCTTACCCCACAGGAAAGTTGGAGCAGACAGCATCTTTGAGACTAACTGAAAGTTCTTCATGTATCTTAGGAAGCAGGCTCAAATCTACAAAAACTCATGCTACCAGATTCTTTCTTTTAGTCTGCACCCACACTGCAGAAACAATCTAGGTTAACATCACTTTAAATGCTAAATGCTCAATGCTTGTCCTTCAAGGCTCCTTTGCAGCCTGACTTTCTCCCAGGAAAGATCTGTGCGATGGAGGAGTGGGGAGGGTGAACGTTTGTCCCTCAAGTGAGCCTCTAAAACTCTATCTATGGCCTGAGGAAGGTAAGCCTGTTTAACTTTGGCCCCTACCAACTGTCAAGTTGTACAGGTCTGGTTTAACCATTTGATGCAAGGGAATATTTCAGTCTCTGTTGGTGTAAATAGAACAGTGCAACATCTTTCCTTAAGTAGGCCCTAGAAACAAAATATCTGACTGAACTGAGACCAACGGTCTCATAAACGAATATGTACTATCAGACCTAGAAAAAAATGCCTAAATACCACAAAAGTACCAGATCCCATCTGATATTGGAAGCTAAGCAGGGTCAGGCCTGGTTAGTACTTGGATGGGGTGACTGGCAAGGAATACCAGATAATATATGCTATGTTTCAGTAGAAAGCAGTGGCAAACCACCTCTGACTATTCCTTACCTAAGAAAAGCCTATGAAATTCATGGGATCACCATAAGTCAACAAGTGACTTGTATATCACAGGTATGTTTGCAAAGATCATAGCTCATTTACCTACCCATCTGAAATGAATTTTATAGTTGCAGACAATGCTATAAACCACCAAGTATCAGCTTTGTTTTACAATGAAATATTCTAGACAGAAATATATTGTTAAACCACCACTTCTGTGCTGTTGTTACTACAATACATGCTTCAGTAATTTTCCTAGGAATTTTATGAGTATAATTCTAACAAGAACTGGTTGCCTCTCATGCTCTCCTAGATCACTTCACTGTGTACTACTAACAGAGTACAGAGAGTATTATATTGAATAAGGTGTCCTTATGTAAAGGATACATTTACAGTGCAAACCCACAGATTTGAATGAAACCATGAGAGGTGGTAGCAAATACTGTTTTATGGGATTTGCTGTTGTTAGAATACAGAACAGTCTGTTCTAAATACAACTAATATTTACTAGAAAAGAAAACAATACTGATTTCAAAGCTTTGACTAGTCTTAAATACTTGGTTTAGATGCCTGCCATTCCTAAAATACAGATCAAAGAGTTCTTTGCCATAGTTATCCGAATACATCAAGTAGAATGTAAAGGTGAAAAGCATGGTAAAAAGTACCTGCATGAGGAAGAAGAATAATACTGCCAGCACATCTGTGCAAACAAAGTACATGTCAGCTAGAACAAAAAGTGCCAGAGACAATGAACTATCACAAGTGACCCTGACAGATTACTTGAGGGGGGAAAACACGCTCTAAAATATGGAACAATATGACTACAGCTCTATAACTCTTGAAAGTTATCTATCTAGGAGGTAAAACAGCCCACTGTTTTGTCAGATTCTTTCAGGTTGGGAACTTAATACTAAATGGCATACATTTAAATGGATTAGTGTGGGAAAAGATTAGGAAAGAGAGAGAAGTAGCTGAGGGAAGGGAGATTTTGTTATGCAGATATTGTAACCCTACCAGCATTGCTTTCCTGTGCCAGGAAGATCCTGTAGGATAGCAATTTTTTTTCTGGTTTGCTCCACCACAATTAACAGTCTTGGGACAGAATATAAAATCTTGTAGTATAATCCTATGTATGTTTACTTGCATAGTCTTGCCATGATCAATGGAGTATACTCCCAGGTAAGTATGCATGAAATTGCAGCCGTAATCATAGCACATCAGATACACTGATTAAACCATACTGTGCCGTGTTTTTCAAAATAAAATCTAAATAATACAGTTATTGTTGTAGGCTTTCATGGCTGGCATCCATAGTTTTTCGTGGGTTTTTTGGGCTGTGGGGCCATGTTCTAGAAGAGTTTCTTTCTGACGTTTCGCTAGTATCTGTGGCTGGCAGCACACAAGATGCCAGCCACAGATGCTGGTGAAACATCAGAAAGAAACTCTTCTAGAACATGGCCACACAGCCCAAAAAAACCACAAAAAATACAGTTATTGATCTTTTATCAGAAGATAACTATCCCATAGTTGAGGGGTAGCCACTTTCATGCACATCTCAAGTCTTGATTGCACTGAGATAACCTTGAAAGTACTTCCTATGTTATATATTGCAGAGCAGAGGTAAGCAAAGTATAGCCTTTCATATGTCATTGGACTGAAATTCTCAGTATTCCTCACAATTGGCTCTGCTGGCTAGAACCTCTGGGAGCTATAGTCCAAATATGTAGTGGGCCATGCTTATTTTTCACCCCTGTTGTAAAGGACTATAGGAGTGGAGGGACACAGATTTATTGAACCCAAACTATTAGATTATTTTACACAATACCATCTGAAGTTGAGAGCAATGAAACAATATTCTTATCAGTGTGTCACTTGAGACTGAGGTGCCCATTCTGGTTGGACCATGTCACTTCAATTCACATATCTAGTATCCTTGTTGACATTCTCTTCATAGAATTTTCTCTTCAGAAGGACATAATTGTATCCCCATGTCCAACAATGGGTTTTGTTTGTTTGTTTTGAAATGGGGGCTCACTACCTTTGCACTTCAGGAAAGCTTGAAGCAGTTTAGTGTTTTCCTTATACAAGAATGGATTCTCTTTCAAAGCAATATGTTCTTACCCATAATATACACCTCTAGTCAAAGTGTTGCTGTAGATGAGTATCCATGTAATTCAGGCAGTAATAATAACAGTAACAGTAACAACAACAACAACAACAATAATAATTTTTATCCCACCACTCTGCACCGCAATCGGGGCGGCGTACAGCAAATTAAAACAACATAACAAGTTAAAACAAATTCCACAATCCCTTTCCTAACCCACCCATCACTTAAAAATATATTAAACTATTACAAGATTAAAATACAAAATAAAAACAGTAAAGTGCAGTCATACAAATAGCAGCTTGGCAGAGGCAGTTAAAAAGCCGGAGTCATTGTCTTCTCCTTATACTTTCTTTTGGGACGGGATGTTGTTCAGGGAAGGCCTGCCGGAAAAGATCCATCTTTACTGCTTTTTTAAA